CTATAGACAGACAATAAAATGCTACCCAACCAGCAACACCCACGCCCCATAAATGATTTTTAAAATAAAGAACCTCCTGAATTGTTCCCATTTGAAACATTTGTCTATCACCACATTTTTCCACCTGGAACAAATATAATATTGAGGCATTTGAGGAGTGGGTTATGATCCAACAACGAAGAAATAAAGGCAATCGTATCTTTTTAAAATCAATTCCTTGACTAACATTCAGATTTAAATGGATGATGGGTAAGTTAGATTCATTCTCAAACTGGCCACTAGATAGAGCTCTGTGCAGACTGGGGATGCTGTACAGATCAAGGGAAAGAATGCCAAACTACTGTAGCCCAGTATGTGATAGAAAAATCTGTCTTGGAGCTGAAAGAATACCAGAGACATGGCAGGAGAACAAGGCTGGTGGGAGAGGAGTAATGTGAATGGAGGTATTGTGAAAGAAATCTTGATCAAGATTTTTCACATTGTGTAGCTTTATTTACTTGATGGATTTCAGTGCCTTTTTTCCCCTTAATTTAATCTATTTGACCTGCTCCTCTGCTTCATTTATATTGAGAAAGGATGAAGAGTGAGAATGTAGGTTGTTATTTAAGCAATGTAGTAGGGCTTTTAAACTTGAAAGGGTTCAGAAAAGATGTACAAAGATATTGCCAGGATTTGGGGGATTTGAGCTTATTGGGAGAGGCTGAACAGACTGGGGCCTTTTTCCCTGGTGTGTCGGAGGCTGAGGGGCAACCATATAGAGGTTTATAAAATCGTGAGGGGCATGGATAGGGTGAATAGCCAAGGTCTTTCTCCCAGGCTAGGTGAATCCAAAACCAGAGGGCATAGGTTTAAGATGAGAGGGGAAAGATTTAAAACGGACAGGAGGGATAACTTTTTCTCGGAGGGAGATGTGAATGTGGAATGAGTTATGAAAGGAGGTGATAGAGGCAGGTACAATTACAATACTTAAAAGGCATCTGGACAAGTACATGAATAGGAAGGGTTTAGAGGGATATGGGCCAATGCTGACAAGTGGGATTAGGTCAGTTTTAGATCGAGTTTACATCAGTTTTTAGGGTCTGTTTCTGTGTTGTATAAATCTGGCTCTGACTCCTTGATTGGAAGAAAGGATTTTGAGAGGTACAGTGAGTGTGCTTCTTTAACAGCCTTACCATAAACAGCCCAGGAGACTTCTAAAACAGTAGACCACGTGAGATATTGGGGCCAATCACCAAGCATTGTAAAAGAGAAACAGGAGGTGGAAAGTTAGATTTAGGCAGGGAAGTCCAGGGTTTCTAGCTCGCAGTTGAAGGCATGCCCATCGATGATAGAACAATTGAAATCTGGAATAACCAAGAAACTAGAATTGAAGAACCAGAGATGTAGGTGAGGCCAAGTTGAAAACAATTTTTAAATCGTGGTACTGAACTATGAGCTATGTAGGTCCTTCCCCTTGGGACTGATGGATAAGTGATTTAATGCGAGTTATGGCATTTGTGTTTTAAATAACATCTTTACAAAGATAAAAATGTCAGGGACCAGCCAAGAGTGGATTAGAATTGTTGAGTTAATAAGGGTATGGATGAGGACTTCTGTGGAAAATGAGCAGAAGTGGCTGACATTAGAGGTCAGACTGAGTAAGTCTTGGAGATATGAATAGATCTTCAGAAACTAATTTCTGTATCAAACAGGTCACCAAGGTTGTGAGCAGTCTGGTTCAACTTCAGTACTTGCCTAGGAGATGGACAGTGGCAATGGATAATGGTTTCAGTCTTCCCAACAGTTGTAGACTCTGTTACAGCAAAAGGTTTATGTTGCAATTCAGATTTTGGGCTGAGAGCTCCAAGTCTGATGCAGCAAGAGCTAATGTAGGTCACTGAGCTCGGGTGGGTGGAACTTGGCGCCACTTAGGATACAGGCAGGAGAATTCTGGATCAGCTGCTATAGAAGGTGGGAGAACAGCCAGGAGAGCACTGAGCCAAGACATGAAAGAGGGACGGCTAGGACGTGGGCTACTTGAAGCACCATGGAAACTTGAGGATTTCATCGGAGTCTGTGACCTCTGGAGAAGGCCAAAAACAATGAATCAATGATGATTTATTGTCACTTGTACTCTACAATGAATACCCATAAAATACAGTGAAAAGTTTCAACTGTTGCCACAATCTGGCACCATTTTGAATGGTTTAAGAATAAAATGATGTAACAGAGTGTCCATCTTCACTCCACCGCCTTTGCTGAGCCGGCTTGGGACTCGGGGCAACAATATCTGCACCAGACCCACCAATGTCGGAGTCACCACTCTTCAGGCACTGTCTTCTCTGGGCCTACCTTGCCAATGGGCTGCCAATGCCAGGCCCTGTGCTCAACTCTCACTCACCTTACAAGCAGGAGCCCCTGGCTCCTCTGCCACTGCCACCTCACCAATTACCAGGAGCCCCTGCTCTGGGCCTACTATAGTCATGCAAGTGACTGGGAAATGATTGGGCAGTGCAAAGAGAATGACTTTAAAATTTTCTTCAGCTAAGTATTGAAAAGTCAGTCTGTTCTGGAAGTGGATATCCACCAACTTGTCGGACAATATTGGAAGGAAGGACTGAGAAATGCAGTGCGGTTGACCCTGTTGGGGGGCGAATGCCAAAAGTTGGGGGGGTGCTATCTCTTAGACCAGCCAAGCAACAGCCTGACACATACATTCATACACAAAATTATTCATTGCAGTCAGCATCCAAGGCAGCAACACCACTGTTCCTGTGCGTGTCCTGTCCCAATGGCAGGACAGACACAGCAAAGGTGACCGAACAGTACTATCCAGTCAGAATGGAGTTGCCCTGAAAGTCCTTGACATTGACCCTGCACCAGGCAAAACATTGGCAAGGAAACTACCTGTTGATTTACCTCTGAACTCCCAAGTCGTTGTATATGTTGAACACCACTTGGAGGCACAGAGCCTCGAGTACAGAATGTACTCTGAGGACTTCAGTGTCCATCACCAGGAGTGCCTCAGCAACACCACTAGTGTCTGAATTGGTTTGGTCCTATAGAGCATTGCTGCTAGACTGGGTCTGCAGCAGGTGATGAGGGAGCCAACAGGAGGGATAAACACACTTGACCTTATCCCTTCAACCTGCCTACTGCAAATGCATCTGACCTTGACCGTAACAGCAAGAGTGACCACTGCACACTTAGACTATTTCCTGCTTTCACACTGGGAATGTTGTCCATCGTGTTGTGTGGCACTATCACTAAGTGGGACAGATGATGGGATTAGAATCCAGGAGGTGCTGTGGTCCATCAGCAACAGCCTAATTGGACGCCTACACAATCTGCAACTTCAGCCTGGCATATCCCGCACTCTACCAACAAGGAAGAACAGAGGTATAGATTATCTTCTAAACAGGGAAAGGCTTCAGAAATCTGAAGCACAAAGGGACTTGGGAGAGTTCTGGTTCAGAATTCTGTTAAGGATAACATGCAGGTTCAGTTGGCAGTTAGAAAGGCAAATGCAATGTTAGCAAACGTTTCAAGAGGTCGAGAAAACGAGAGCAGAGATGTATTGTAGGGCTCTGGTCAGACTGCATTTGGAATATGGTGAGCAGTTTTGGGCCCTGGCTTTAGAGAGGTCCAGTTGTTTATGTGAATGATCCTGGTGGTGAAGGGCTTGCCGTATGAAGAGTGGTTGAGGACTTTCAGTCTTTACTTGATTTTGGAGTTTATAAAGATGAGGGGGATCGCTTTGAAACTTGAAGAATACTGAGGAGAGGCCTAGATAGAGTGGATGTGGAGATGTTTTCACTGGTAGGAGAGACTAGGACACAAAGACATAGCATCCTTTCACTCAGGCTACTTTAGAACTGAAATGAGAGGGAATTGCTTCAGCATGAGGATGATGACTCTGGAACACATTGCAGCAGAGGGCTGTGGAGGCCAAGTCACTGAGTGTATTTCAGGCCAAGATAGGCTTGTGGTAAGTAGGGGGATCAAGGGTGATGGGGACAAGGCAGGAGAATGGTGTTGAGGAACATATATCAGCCATGATTGAATGTTTGAGCAGACTTGATGGGCTGAATGGCCTAACTATGCTACTAATCTTATGATCTAACAATTGAAGTAGTATTTGCACTCCTTGGACGTTGGTAATAGTGGATGCAAGACAACAGATGTATTGATTTATAGTGGGGATGGTCAGGTGCAATTGCACTGCTGTTTCCATTATACAAGATTACTGCTGAAGGGTCTGTGGAGAAGAGGTGGTAAAAATGTTCACTGGAGAAAATTACAAGTTAACCTGGTGAATGTCAAGATTGACATGATTGAAAGTGCTGTATATCTAGATGAGTATACTAGATTGTAGATTTTTAAAATTGTCACACAGTACTGATCCAAGTGAAACTGGATGAAATCTGCATCAAATATGTGATCGTAAAAGAAATGACTATTCTGGTCCTTGTGAAACCCAAACTCCAACTTGTTAGTCTGCATGAAGCAGAGAGGAACCAGATATAACAGTTCCTCCTGTGTTGTGACCTAGAAAATAGAATTGCACTTGTGTTGCATTTAATTAGCCCAGTGTCAGTGCACCCATAACTTCAAGTGTGCACAGCACATACAGAATAGGCATGTGTGAAAAGTCACAAGTGGCTGGGTGTTACTTGACTATTACAGGCTGAGGTCATTGATTCTGCGTTCAATTTCAGCTTTTTTATATTTTAGTAAGTAAAATCGAGTTTGCATGTTTCCTTGTATTTCTATTAATACTTTTTTTTACATCCACTGCAAGAGTTTCAGATATCAATCTCCAGCCCATCTCGTTCTGTTGCATAATTCTTGGTCCAGATCCTGGATAGCTTGTATTGTAGCTTGTCAAATTAAGATGACCAGCAGATATGCTGAACATGTGTTACTACTTTGAGAAATATTAAATGTGATGTTTGTAAGTTCAAGCTTAAATAGTGCTTTCACAATATTCACTTTTTCTAATCTTCTGCTGTCTTCAACAGAACTACCTATCCATGAGAATTGTGAATCCTATCTAAGGAGTTTACGTTTGGCCAGTCTTCCCGCAGCAGTGATTCTGTTGTATAACTGACACAAGAACATTCATGTCGTATGTCTACAACCTCATGGCCTCGGGTAGAAATGGACAGAGGTTAGGAGGATGACAAAATCTACATTTTACCAAGGTTAAGCAAGGTTCATGGGGTCATGACTGGGCCATTTATCAATGATTCCATGTTAATGTGCTGACCCTGGATGACCAGGACCCTGCTGTTTTTATCCAACATTTATGCAATTGGCTGTTTGTTTAGCAGGTGCCTGTCTAGTTATGAAATACCAGGGGAATTTTTCCGTGCATTTGAAACAGCGAACTAAGCAGAAGTGTGTTTGAATTATGGCTATTCAAGGTGGTTGGTTTGCTAATCTGTTACAGCATAGGTTTAGAACAATGTGCAAATATTAAGGGACTTTTTTTATCAAATGTCTGAAACAATTTAAAGAGCAAAGTGTCTCCACTCAGTTTGCATATATCCTCATTGAATGGAAGAAACTAATGGTTGATGTTCTGAGGATTATAAATAGTGCAGCAGTGTTGTATTATGTAGTCTCTTCATGGTTTTAGTTTGATTCACTTTTTTGCGTAAGAATGTGGACCAAAATCAAATGTAACTTAAATGCAAAGTAAATCACTATTAATCAGTGTACTTCTTGTACTCTAATAACTGCAATGTTAGCATCTAATAAATCATTCCACCAGTGTCAGTGTTTTTCAGTCTTTATTGTGTACAGTGTTCCTTTAAAAAAAATTTCTAAGGATGGATACACCTATTATCCCTCACCATGTATTCACTTGATTCATGGCATAGTGCTTGAAATATACTTGCAATGTTTGTCAGGCTGCCAGTTCTTTAAATTATAATATTTACATTCAAAGATTCAACATAAATTAGCAGTTGCATTACAAAACTACAATGTATTTAAATAATCAACAACCTAAAAGCAATAGTTTGTGATTACAAATCAATAAAATATCTTATTTGCAGAATTAACAAAAACAACAATTAAAATACAAGTGTGTGAAATAGTTTGACTCTCATTACTGTGGGCAGGAAAAATTTTATAACAGTTAGTGCAGTTGAAAACATTTTCCTGCACAATCTGGATAAAATTACTTTTTGTGAAAATCACCTCAAAGCTTCTCTTTTTTTTAATGAATCCAAGTTGTCTTTCTGAAGGCTATTTTGTGATTGGTATCCTGACTAAAATGACAGTGAAATATCTGTAGACTCTATGCAAATCTAGATGTTGGTTATTGATATGTTGATCTTCAGAGTTCCCAAGGGTTGTGAATATAGGTCATATGTTGTACGGGAATGGTGTGAATTTTGTGGGCAAGTTGTCCACTGGATACACAGTGGGATTGGTTTTCATGGTAGGAGGCCCATTTAAAAGTTCCCAGTCACAAGCCCTGACGAGCTCCACTGTGAAGATCTTGAGGAGAATCTTGGCAAACTCTTTGCCCACACAACTCCTGGAGCCGCCTCCAAAAGGAATGTAGCTGAATCTGCAGGAATCATTTTCTGAGCAACCCTCCATGAAGCGATCTGGGTTAAACTCATCTTTTTTTGAGAAATTTGTGGCTACATCATGTGTGTCACAAATACTGTAAATAACATTCCAGCCTTTAGGTATCTGATATCCCTAGAAATAAATATGTTCAAAATAATTAAGCCAGTTTTAACTACAGACAAGCACTTTGAATTCAGGTACAAGGGTTGTGATATTTTGAATTGACTTCTTATAAAGTTAGTGTCCATATTGTCTTGCACTTGAGTTGGGGGGGGGGGAAGAAAAAGTTATTTCACTTGTAAACATTTATATTGTCTGACATTTAGATGACTGTATCTAGGTAACTCTTTCTACTCTTGTCTTGCCTTGTTGTTGGAGATGCACCTGCCCATTAGAAGCAGGTGCCTTGCAAAAGGAGAAGCATGAAAATTGGTTGTAAATTACTTGAACTGATGACCTAGTCATGTAAATAACTTTGAGGTGTTACTGTTCTTCCCAGTTTTATTGACTTATCAATTTTTAATGAATTCCTACCCCACCCCCCACCCCTTCACTCAGAGTTGGTGTTTTTATAGCACAAAGAGGCCTTTAGCACTTGGCCCATTGCCTTGTATGTTATGGCATTTTAAGTGCTGATCTAAGTAGTTCTTAAATGTTCTCAATTTTTAAAACCACCCTTTTAGGCAATGAGTTCCAGATACAACCCTCTGCAGGGGGGGGAAATTTTCCCACAATCTCCCCAAATTTCCTGTCTATTTCTACACTACAGATTCCCAATCTGGTGTCTCTTCATAGTTGGTTTACTCTACCCCACCCCCACCCCCCCCTGCTACTGCCCTAGTGCATCTGTTCTACACGCTGTCTAGTATAATTACATCTTTCCTTTTCTGTGGTGATCAGAAGTGCACGTTGTACTTTGTGACCTAATTAAGGTTATATGCAGTTCTATCACAACTTCTTTGCTTGTATTTTGATACCTTGATTAACCAGACATTTTCAGGGCCTTAAAAACTCTGGATGGGGCTAACTGATCAGTGCTAAATTAAGTATAGAGAAGTTACGTTGTGTAATCTCAATCTGAACCATGAAGATTTTGTATTTTTGACATTTGAAAGTGATGAGAGAAAATCCTCTGCAGCTATGTAAAACAAAAAGATTCTTAAATGTGTAAAAAGTATTATTTTACGGACCATTGCAAAGGTGTTAAATTTGTCAGACAGTCATGCAGTGCGGAAATAGGCCTTCCAGCCCATAACCCAAGCTAAACTAGTCCCATCTGCCTCCTCCTGCCCCCTATCTCTGCAACCCTTTCCTATTCATGTACTTAACCAACTGCCTTTAAACGCTGTCATTGTACCTACGTCTACTACTTCCGCAGGTAGTTCATTCCACACGCGAACCACCCTCTGTTTTTTTTTAAAAAAAAGGCATTGCTTTGACTCCAATTTCAGCTTACATTTATCACGAAGGTTTTTAGGGCCACGCGGAATCCTCCGGGGACTGGGGGACTGAGCCGAAGAGTTTCTTTGATAACACTTCCGGTATATTTCAGTTGTTCCAGCAGTTCCATGGTGATGTGTCTGATCTCTGTGCCGTCGCTGCTTAGTAATCCCTGCAAATGTGGGGAGAAGCCACATGTCAATGGAAAAGAAAAAAAAAATCAGGAGCGCTGCACCAGAGTACCGACAGAGGAGCTGCCTTCTTAAACCCCAGCGAGCTCTGGCAATGCGCTCGACAATGTGAATATAGCCTCACCTGCTCTTGTAGTTCCCTCCTGACCTTTTGTAGCACCTCCCGGTGTAAAGCCAGGAAGGTGACCAGGGAGGTGGCGGTACTGGCGGTCGTCTCATGTCCTGCAAATAACAACTCGGTAGCGGATTCCTTCAGCTCCTGTTCAGTAGCAATAATAAACACAGGTGAGGTACCCGGCAAAGCGCGCCTCTCCTTCCCATACCACAGAGACTGCCAGAAAGTCCTGAGGGAACTGGCAACAAATGGTATCAAACACAGGAATCCTCACTGTTTTAATTAACCCGTCTTTGCTTTTTTTAAGAAACGATGGAGTTTGTTCACCTGAAGTGTGAAAGTCGGAGGGGCACTTGCTGTTGGGCAGTGTATCGGTGCTGGAGTTGTGGTTAAAGGGCAGTATGGGAGGCGGGGAGGAGACTGTACTGTACATGGCTGTATTCGGGATCAGTGTTCGGGAATAGAGTCTATATTCTGGGGATAGTATTTAGGGAGATCGGTCTGTGTTCTGCAGTGGATACTGTGTTCTGAGCCGTGTCTATATTCTGGGATTAGTGTTCAGGGGATAAAGTATGTGTCTGGGAATGGAGACTGTGTTCTGGTGGGACAGTGTCTATAATTCTGGGATTAATATTCAGGAGGGAGGGAGGGTCTGTGTTCTGGGCTCGGCGCACCGGGGTTGAGGCTGTCATGAGAGAAAAAGAAAACCCCGAAGGAGCTGCGGATGCTGGAAATCTGAAACAAAAACAGAAATTGCTGAAAAATCTCGGCAGGTCCACGGACAGAAATCGGAGTTAAGGTTTCAAAGCTAGCGACCCTTCCTCAGAGCACTATCCTGATTACCTGTAAACGCAGAGGTTGCTCACTCTGCTCCGACTGCTCAATCAGAAGTTGCAGAGCATCTTTGAATTGCCCGGTGGATTCGCGTCTCGCCACTTTTTTCCTGATGTTCTCTTCGATTTTCGCGTGGATCACATTCCTCGCCTTCAGTCCCTGTCACCAAACAACAGGCACGGTCACTATGGGCGCCCCATCGGAGAGGTGACACTCTCTAGACCTCCAGGTATTACAAACAAAAAATTGGCGCTTCTCCGCCCCCCCCCCCCCCCCCGTCCTACTTTTCTAGATTTATTTGTGTTTTTTTTTAACCGATCGTTCTCCTGCTCCTTACCCGGTATAAGCCGCTGAACGGTACGTCGATGGGCAGGGAAAAGAGATTGCGGATCATCTCCTCAAAGACCTGGATGAGCTCCTGTTGAGTTTGCGGGCTGGTGTGTGTCGGTTCGAAGCCCAGCAGAATCCGCATCGCGATGCCGAACATGAGGCGCTTCATTTCGGGGTAGACCAGCACACAGGAGCCGCTGTCCAACCACCGCCGGACGCCGGCCCGGATCTCCTCGCCCATCACCGGGATGTAATTTTGCAGAGCTTCCCGCGAGAAAGCTTTCAAGATCACCTGGAATTGAAGCGAATTGGTGAGTGAGAACGGATATCCTGAATTGCAAACGGAATTTCTCAATTGTAAAAGGGCGACTGGAAAGAGCACTTTTGGCCCCAGCACTGTTGCTATCCGGGCTTCTTCGATTGTGGGTGATGTAAATTTATTGTGGGATTCCCTGGTTAGTGCCTATCGATTAGCTCAAATTCCAGGCGTTTGACCCAAACATTTCTTACCCTCTTCCTGTGTTTGTGCTCCGAGTGGTGTAGGTTGGACAAGCAGCTGGCTCCCAGAATGGTCCGCACTGAGGCAGGCCATTGTACCGAGACCAATTTGTGCTCTCCCAGTAAGATCTGCTTCACGTTCTCGGCTCCCATGATCCGCACCGTCGGGTTCCCGAACAGATGAGTCTTGTAGATGTAGCCGTACTTTCGCACTTTCATTTTCAGGAATTTGTATCTCTGTAAACAATGAATGCACGTTATCGGGTAGGCGCGGGGATTGGGAGGGGCTGGTGGGAGATGAGTTTCTAGTTTTGTTGGTTAACTATTGGGATCGCGAAACCCAAGTGAAGGAACAAATCAACCCCCCTCCCCCCCCAGAACGTTATAAACCGTTTCTCGAATACTTCCGTTGTGATAACGAGAGACAGAAAGCGAATCAAAGTTCGAGCGAGATTAACCTGACGCACTGTGTGAAATCAATCTGGCAGCCTTTCAAACAAGACTGGGTTTTTGCAGAGAGATGCTCTGTTAAATTCCTCTGTTCTTGTTAATGACAAAGTAACTGTGCAAAAGTGACTGGAATAATTTCTCAGTGCTGTACAATCCTTTTTACCTGTTGAGCAATATACTCTCACTCTCTTCAAAAACAATTTCTTATTCAAAAAAAACTTCAATCCCCCTCGCTGTTGTCAAGTTTACCGTCTACGCTCTCGGTTTCTGCCACAGGAAGTTGGTGGATGTTTTGGATAATTTTGAGAAAGGTGTTGTCTGCTATAGGAAGTTAAGTGACGGTCTCACCTGCAGGACTAGGTGGAGGGTCTCTCCCAAGAAAGGCAGCCCCATGGAGCCCGGAGGTAGGGGCTTTTCACAGGTTGGGTCCCTTCCACTGATACAGTAAACTTCCCACAACTTCACCGCGGCCACGAAAAGCGCCAAGGGCAGCACAAAAGTGCACAGGAAGGTAGCACAAAGTGTAACCAAGACCATTTTCGCAGCCAGTTAGCACTCAATTTTCAGTGCAGCTCTCGGATTAGCCTCGGTCTGGCCGTATTCTAAATGAAGCGAGTGACTCTCCCAAATGCTCACACTCCAGGTTCAAGCCTCCTTATAACTCCCCAGGTCCCCAGTCTCTCTTACCTTGGTCAGTTAAATTAGTTCACACAAAGTTCATCTTTCATTGTGTAGATTGTGCCATCCCTCTGACTCCGCCTGTTTCAGTGACGCTGGCCAAAAATCTTTAACCCATTGTTGGTCAGAAGTGCAGCTATCCAAAAGGGATAGCACGAGATAGATTTCTGACCGGTCTTCTCCCGAAGCTTAGGAAACTGATACTTTAAAAAAAAAGATCAGAAGGAGGATAGCGAATTCTAGCTCGGAAATACAGGGCAAGGGATACCGGCTTTTGCGATACAAAGTACAGAACCGTTATAAGTGCTTCCATAATCCGTTTCAGTTGCTTTACTCTTTGCACTGTGCTCATTGTGATCTACAGAAACCGCAAGTTGGCAGCTAGTCTATAAAGTGTGGGTTTGCCTTCACATTTGGACCCGGGATGTATTACATGGGAAAATATCTGTTTAAGATGATGTTAGACTTGTCCCGCTGACCTCCGACGCAATGAAACGCTTAATTGTGTCTCATTGTCATTTGGATCAAGACACGGGCTTCGTAATCCTTTCTCGGGATAGTTAAGAATTTAATACTGAACGCTAAGTCACCTGGAACTGAACCCAGTTTATCTCCAAAGTATAGTTCAGATGTGATGGTTTAAAGGAAGCCTGTGGTCATTTCTATGAGAATTGTGTGCTGTGATATCTGGGCTGTACCTGAGATTCACTAATGCATCCGGGGCGAAGGTGTTGAAAAGTATGATTCCCTGGTGACAGGCGGTCAGAGGTTTGAAATGTTTCAGAGCTGTCATGGGTGAGTTCCTGACCCCGCCAGTTCACAGTTGGAAGGTTCTTGATATAAAGATGAATTATGTAATTGTCATGAAAAGCCAAGATTCGCATTGACGTGGCGCAGAGTTTGAGTGACAGGAAACTAACAGTCTAGCGCGGCATTCACCTCCGGCTGCAGATTAAACCGCGCCTTCGGGTAACTCTTGAGAAATAACGACGTCATTCGGAGGTGAATTCCTCAAATTATGATCCTGTGCAAGCCCTAGGTTCAAACCCAGGTCAGCCAGGCAAAGCAGTGGAAAAGCAAGGTTATATCAGAAAGTAAATACGGTCGCCGTTGCCACCCACAGTTTTATAGGTACGATTACAGCAGCTATATCTCGGTGCAAAGTATGTGCGCGTTTACAGCTCTAATGTGAAGGCGGTCTGTCGCTGTAAAATGAAGATATTGCGTTTCTGGAAATGTGCACTTAATATACAACTCGGCTGCCCCTTGTTTGAACCGCTGTGTTTACAGATTTCTACTCGGATTGTTCTTGCATTGTATTGCAGCAACACCAGACGCCCTTTGCAGCAACTCCGTTAGTGAGCCATTGAATTGATAGTGCCAAGTTATTCCAAATAAACACACTGATCACTGAATGTTTTGACACATTTATAGATCATGAAATAACGTTGGCCAGTTTCCCTTTAATTCCGAGATAGTAGGAACTGCAGATGCTGGAGAATCTGAGATAACAAGGTGTAGAGCTGGATGAACACAGCAGGCCAAGCAGCATCAGAGGAGCAGGAAGGCTGACGTTTCGGGCCTAGACC